TATTCTTGAAGCCTGTTGGCTAAATGTGAGGGAAAAAAAAGACATTTTATAGAGGATTTCATCAGTAGAAAACACAATAGAAATCATTTGGATTTGTAGAAACACATACATAAGTCCCTTTGCAAAACAAAGGTAAAAGTTCCCTTTTATGTATAAAGGAGCAAATAGCAGTATTTCACTGATACATTGGTTAAATCCATGAGGAGTTTTTTTTTTTTTAAATGAAATAGCTGTTTTATGATAATGTCCTATATACCCAAATTATCTATAAGCCTCACAGAAAAAATAAAAGTAACATGGAAATTTTTTAAGTAAAACTATTTTTTCTCAATTTTTGTATAGTTTGTTTTCAGCTTAAAAATCATACAAATGATAAAATATTACTGTATGAAATAAATCATGATTATATTAAAGTCATATGACACATTAGGTCAGCTCTACTCCAAATGTGTTTAGTATTTATTAAGTAAATTTAATGAAATATGTATATAAGTAACTCATACTGACACAAATTGACATCTTAAGCTTAGCTTATCAAAGGGAAATAATATTCAACATGTCAGGGTAATGGAGGGGGAAATGATGTCATTCCATGTAGTGTATACAGATTGTGTCATTATCAACACCGAAGCAAAATTCAATCCATCAGATGTTATCTGAAAACCCAGATGGTTGATCTAGATCTCATAATACAGCAAAATGATTCATTTTTGTGAATCATTTTGTCCAAATCTTAGGTGCTGTAACATCAATAAACATTAGCCTAGAAATATTGTAAAAACATTGGAATTAATTATGTCATTTTTATATTTACATCTTAAGATGCTTCAATATCAAAACAGCCAAAGGATGTTCATGATACCTTGAAGCATAAACAATTCCTATCTAACACAATCTATCAAAACAAAGGAAAAATATATTCTTTTTTTCAGTTTAGAGATCTAACTTCTCTCGTATGGATAGAAAAAAAAAATGAGTTAAAGAAGGTAGAAAGTCATTTTTCAATGTCTTCAGCTCATTTTTCTTTTTTTTAAAGAGCTGCTTTACCAGTAGAAAGAAAGCTCTCATCATCAACATCATGTCTATAAATGGGAAATACATAGTGCCTAAGGCATTTGACTGCTAACCAGAAGGCTGGTGGTTCAATCTCACCAGCCACTCCTCGGAGGGATGACTGGGCAATCTACTTCCATAGAGATACCGCCTCGGAAACCCAAGGGGGGGTCACTATGAGTTGGATTCAACTCCACGGCAGTGAGTTTTTTGAGTCCAGTGACATGGGAAAATTTCAATGAAAAAGATATTAAAAATAACATAACTTATAAAGAGCTACATATTCTCATGGGGAGACCTCATTATTTTAAGATAATTGTGAGCTGGAAAAGGCTGCTTAATGTAAACTACTGAAAAGGACCAATATCTTACAATAAATAGGGGACAAAGATAGACTGAGACTATCTGGAAAAAATAGTTTAAAGTAATAAAGTTTTTTCATCTTGATTTTTTCAAACCTAATATTAAAATTAAAATTTTATGTGAATTCTTTGAATGAACAAGTCTTGATTAAAAGTTTATTAATAACCTAATGATAGATGATGCTTTTTTATGACAAAATTATTTGACAAACAATGTAATCTTTTACTCTTATATGAAGTTTCATGTCTGCAAAAATATCCCAGACCTTCACCAATTTTCTCAAAGTTTCCTCTTGTTTCATAGATATTCAAATAATTCGCTTTTGAAATTTATTTGTATCCTTTAAAAAATGTGATTGTGGGATGCTTATGGTATCCAGTAGTCATAAAGAAACTGACCTATAAGTATGTAACACACAGAAGGCATATTGCTAATGTGCAGCGGGAAGGGACGACTTTTATAAGTGAACAACTTCCTTAGCGAATAATCGATTTGGTAGACATTCACTTTCCTATGCAGTCTTTTCACTACAGGCACTAGGATATGATATTCATATGACTAGGATTTCCTGTCCCATAAGGATTTCCTTCCCATCACTACATAAGACACTAATTTTGCATGTCTCTCTAGACAGATATATATGTACTTGTCAGAGGAACAGATATGATGCAGGATTTCTTCACCTGGGATCCAAGAAGACAATTCAGGAGTTCTCTGAAATTTTATGTATGTATGAATGTTTATGTCTATACACACAATTCTGTATTTTTCTGTGAAGAGAGTCTATAACTTTCACTAGATTCTTAAGGGATCTATCCCCTTAAAAAGTTAAGAACTACTTTCCAATGCGTTGTTTAATCTATCACAGTTGACTGTGACACAGTACTACTCTTTACTCTGTCTTTAAAAATCCATCACTCATTTTACAATGGCCCTACAGCTATCATAATCTAAATGTAGTAGCAGATATTACTGACTCCTACAGATCTCTTTTGTCTGAGCCCCACCATCCTCATGCTATGTATCTAGCCCTGGTCCTAGCCAAGGTGTCTGTGCTAGGCGGCAGGACTTTAATAGAATGATGAAGCATGAAATAATAAGGACATCATCATCGGGGCAATCCTTCTAAGAATGCGAAATATGAGAAGAATGCCCAAAACAGAAATTAGTTTCTATTTAGCACGGCATATTTTCCAAGGACCCAGAAATATATTTCTTCTTATAATTCCCACTGTTAAATTAAATGATCAACTGAGATAATAAAATGGAATTTTGTCATAAAATTAAAAGTAAGTACATAATTTTCTTTTGAAAATTATTGAGAAATCATCTTACTGCTCTCCTTCACAGGGCATATTTCAGATAGATTTATCTATCCGGCTTCAATGATTATCCTGGAAAGTAAAAACTTCTTTCCAGCTCAAGCAGTGAAAATTATTTTAATTCTCCAAAATCTGAGATAATGATATAAGCTAAAACCAAAAAACCAGTTGATTCTGACTCACGGCAACCCCTTGTGGTTCAGAGCTGAACTGCACCCCATGGGAGTTTTCAATGACCGCAATCTTTTCAAAGTAGATCACCAGGGCTTCCCCCAAAACTTGCATTAATCATTATACCATAAGGAGCCAATATTTTCCCACTTCCGTCATCCAGTTTTGCTCTGAAGTTGACATATTTTCCATGTGAGTAGTACTTACAACTTCCTTTCACAAATCTGTCCTAAAGTTTAATATTCATGAAAGCTTATATCTCAGTCAAGTTAATATCCTATAGCAGTATTTTAATTTTGAGCTCTCTCTCTTTGTGAAAAAAATGCAATATTCTACTATATCCTATCACCCTCATTTTGAAGGGCCTCCACAGCTTGTTGCCAATTTTATTTTCCAAACTCTTTGACAGGTGTCTTGTCAGGTGAGTAGATCTGTCTAAGGAGTGTCCTATGAAGAACCCTCTCCTGACTTACACTTACTTTGATCAATTGGTTTATATTATATCCCTATAAGCCCTCTTCACCCAGTTGCTGTCTTTAAATGAAAGACTGAGTTCTGTTGTTCCCTTAAAGACTTCTGTGACTCTTCAGCCTTCATTCATTTCCATTTTGCTGAACTGCTGTGTTTCTGGTTTCTGCTTCACCAGTTAGACCTTCATCCTGTATATCCTCTTTTGTTGTTGTTTCATATATAATCTTGTTAATTACCTGAAGAGAAAGACTATATCTTGTTCATCTATTCTACATTTTCTCAGGACCCACTGTAGATCCTAGAAGTCACTCCACAAATACTCATATATCAAGTGATCACCCAAGAAGCTCCATCATAAACCATGTTGGTAACTCAACTCCCAAACCTAAAACACACTCAAGAGATAAGAATCAGAGAAAAGCATCATAGATACAAATGTATGTAATAGATGCTAGCCAATAAAGCAAAAAAATAAAAAAGATCTAGCAATTAGGGGAATAGAACTTTATCCTTCACTCAAAACTGAACATAATAAGAAATAATTCATGTTTTAGTAATTATCTTATTTGTTGGAAATCCAATTTTTAATATTTTGTCAATTTGAATCAAAATTGAATCCATTTCTCTCAACAACTATTTAACTGACATCCAATATTGGAGATAATGATAAATTTTAAATAATTGACACATTATCTTTGAAGAAGGATTTTTTATATTCATTAACTGCAATTGGTTATCCAACATCTCCTCTTAGTGAAAGAAAGAGGATTTTGGAATGTGACTTCTGATGTTCATTAGAAAATCAGAAGAAGGAAAGGGAAACAAAAGAACACTCCCTGTGTTGATGTACTTGTATGCGAAGTGATAAAATTTTAGCCCCTGTTCTTGTAAGCATGGTTATCAGGAGGAAAACATTTAATTAGTTCCTTTTTCTGGATAGAGCATGTCTCCACAAGTATGCAAGAATGCTTTAACAATTCCTGTAATTGAACTGACTAAAGGAATTAGGATCCAATTTTAGTAATCAATATTTTTATAAATTTTCTATATTTTATTATGGAAAATTCCAATGCCTATTGTATATCCAATTTTCAATTACAAGTGACAGATAATCTACTTTATAATTACTTCCCTTATCAGGTTTGACCTTTTAACAACATATCCATCAGACAGTGAAAGGAGACTCTTAGAAAACTGATCTTGTAAGAGTTGGACAGTAAAAAGATGGAAGTGAATGGCTAAGGGAAGGGTTGTATATTTCATCAGATTTACTCTTTGCAATCTGTTCCAGTAGTGAAACATCACAAAGTTTCTATTTTTAAAACATCAGGAAAGAGCTATTTCTCATGCTGTACTCTTTCCAGGAAGGGAAATATTAAGCAAATTTGGGGTCTGTGGTCAGTGGAAAAACTCTTTATTTGCTCTCAGTAATTCTTCAATGCCATGCTTCTTCTTTCTGTGAATTCCTCATTTGCTTCTAAAGAATCCATTTTTTTCATGAACAATATATTCTTTTTAGAAAAAAAATGAGCCAAAGGAATATAGCAAACCTGGAACACGACTGCATAGCACCAGCACAGAGTTGCTTCTCAGTTGTTGACATGAGAGTCAGTTTATTTTTTATAACTCATCACCATCGTCTGAGCTAAAACTACTTCTTCTGCTGCCCTCTTTGGAAACTGCAGGGGAAGTGGCGGACAGCAGAGGGTCTGTTCCAAACGGAGATATTGTGTCATCCAGTAACATGACATCCAATCTTTGTTCCTCTTTCAAAGCGGCACTAAATGATAAATCAGTGAAATGTGACAAAGGATCAGAGAAGGGCATAGCTTGATCGCAGAGTTCAGGGCTTGGTCCCTGAGACACAGTCAGATGTTGGCAATAGTCTACTGAATTCTGCTCCGGATGGGTCTGTTGTTTGGTGACCTGAGCACCTGCGTCAACTGTGGCAAGAGAAGCCAGGGTTGGCAGACCATGTGCACGAGCCTGTATTTCTAGTTCCTGCAATTTCAAACAAACAAAAATAATTAACTAATGGGTTGGAAGTGAATGAACTCTAGAGAATACACCAGAAATAGAAGCAAATATTAACAAGCATTCAAGTATGAAAACTAATAGAAATTACAAATTGTTTTTCAAATAATGGAAACTGATATATTTCTAATACACGAAAAAAATAATCCTTAGAAAAATACTGGGCTTTTTAGAAAAAAAATTAATTCTCCTCTTATTGTTCGTTGAAGGAATACACAATAGGGGATGGACCCGTAGTGCCTGAGCCTCAGAGGACAGTGGGAAAATGTTCCACTTATTCTTTCTGATTAATTTCTCACCATAACTCAGTATTATGTCATGGAAAGATAGTAAGTGCTTTACCTGGCAGTAATTATGCTCACATTAAAAAAAAAAAAAAAAAGGAAAAAAGAACACATTGAGAGTTATGAAAATCCATATTTGATATTTTGAGTCACATGAACAGATGAGGAGTGACTTAATATAAACTGGCACAAAATGCCTTCAGGCAATGAAATCCAGAGCAATGTTACTAAAGAAATAAAAAGGGAGGAGAGAATTTAGTGTCCAATATTATCTCGAGAAACAAACGTTCTACTTAGCATTATTTTTTGGCTGGGATGATGTCGTGTGCATTTCTGACATGAGATCTATTTTCTGCATTTTATAATTAGTTGTCATTCATTTAGCTTTTCTTTTCTTATTTTTTAAGTCATCTTGATCCTGGAATTCTAATCAAAATCTAATTGAAACAATCGAATTTCTGAACCAGGCAAAGGCCATAAAAATTATCCTTCAGAAGAAAAAATAATTGTTAACAAGGAAAAATAAATGAGACCAATGAATAAAACAAATGACGAGTAATAATACGTAAACTACATGGTTTACGGCAACATTCGTATAAAAACCTGAATGCGGAGGAGAAGCCGCCGGTTAGCCTGCTCTAATTTCTTCTGTCTGTGTTCTAAGTCTCGGGCTCTCTGGTGTTCTTTTTGTAGCCACTTGATGTACTCCACTGATGCTTTTAGAATGGTTCCTTTGTTCCAGCGCGCATCACTGTAGAACCGGGAGATAACCTTTTCACAATTGTGCGTGTCAGCAGAATTCATAAGAACTTACAAAATCTTTTACATTAATATGAAATAATGATTTACATGACTATTATTCACTCTTAGATATTATTGCTTCTGAATAGAAATTTTAATAGAATAGTTAAGAAGCCCTTATATAGTAAAATTAATCCCAGAATGAAAATAAGTGTCAAAAGAAAGTAATAAAGTGACTTTTTGTGGGAGAGCTAAATGCAATATCATGATTCTACCATTACAGTTTTTATATTTTTAGTGAAAATTGCTTTTATTATTAACTCCAAGATTAAAATCTATGTGCAGTATTTCTGCATTAATGAACTAGGAAATGTACATTACTGAGGACTTAAGCCTAAATTTTTTAAGATCATTTCAAATGTACCAATCTTTTAAACCAGTTCCTAATAAGGTTGCTTTTGATTCTCATAAAATAAATAAATAAATAAAACAAGGTCCCTCCTGAACGGTGATACTGAGTGACTGTGAAACAAATCAAGAGTTTAGCAACATTTCTTTATACAAAACTTTGTAAAACCATTCAGCCAGTCTTTTTACACAAAAAGCACCAATGCTCTTTAAAAAGCTGGATACCTATTTTTAAATTAAATCACAGGAGATAAATACAATGTAACATTACTGGATAATCTTCAGGGTGTAACTTGGAAATATTATTTTGTTAAAATTTACTTTTTAAAACAAGACAAATGATAGATCTGGGATTATGGATCAGATTACTGGGTTCAATACCTGAAAATAGAGATCAATGAATTTAATACTATATGAAAATTGGTTATATGTATGGAGAATGAGGCAAAAGTAATTGCCAAAAGTTAATCAGAGCTATTGGAAAACCTTGATAAATTTCCAATTTTGGATCATGGGATATTTTTAATACAGCATAAAGTAAACACATTGGGACATTTTTAAAAGACAATATACTGGAAATGTTTTGAGTTTGAACAAATCTTTGTGATGTATATTGAACTTAATATATGCTTATGAAAGTACGAGAAATGGGGAAATTCAACTTATGAGAGATCTGATTTGTATGCGCCTCATTGGAGGTTCAGGTAGGTGGCAATGCCATTAGTAGTAACAAATTAAGAAAGACACAATTTTCTATTGGCAGATGAAAATGTTTACTAAGGCCTGGACAAGCTCATTTCTACTGAAATCTATCAAACAATGATCTGTGTCTGCCTACTTTGAAAATGCTTTGTCAGTTCTCCAGGGTCATAATAGCTGTTGGTCTCATTGTATTCACCATGATGTACCTGATGGTGAGAAGGCTTGGGAAAGGCAGACTACTTTTACCATTAAACTAAGGTGGTATCTTTGAAAAGTGCAGTGGATTCCTAAACCAAAATTGTTATGTGACAGCAGTCAGCTTAGGCCCCTTAACATTGTTTTGTTTCTGCCCACGGAAAGAAAATCTTGAAGGACAGAGAGAATGAGATAAAAATAACAGCCCTAACCAACTTTGAAATTTAAATTACTGTTTATTTAAATCTAAAAAAAAAAACTTCAAGATGATGGTGCAGCAAGATGACATAACCCAGAAACCAACACAGCTATGGAAGTATCCAAAGTAAAATAAGCTTACAAGATTGTAAACAGGGAACCAGAGACATCAATTGGCAAATGAGGACAACTACAAACCAAAAAGAGGGAAAATACTATGTAGTCAAAGAACTTCTAAAGGGTGAGGAAGTCGAGAGAGTTGCAAGATAGAACAGACTGTTCTAAACTTGGGGAGAAAATTATAAATCACAGGTTAACCTCAAAGAAAAAAGATAAAGCTTCACATCACAACAAAAGAGAGGACAAGCACAAATATTTAGCAAATACTAAAAGAATAGCAACAAAGGAAGTGATAACATGATTCATAAACATAAAGTACTCAGCACAGAAAATAATATGGAACAAAGAAACCAGGAACACCATGAAAAAATGTATAATAAAATGACAGCAACCAATTCATACTTGTCAATAACTATACTGAATGTCAATTGATTAAAGGTGCCACTCAAGAGATGGAGAGTTGCAGACTGTATAAGAGAACAAAATCCATCAATATGTTGCCTACAAGAGACACACCTTAGAGACAAAGACAAAAATAGACTAAAGATCAAAGGTTGGAAAAAGATATATCGACCAAATGGCAACCAAAAAAGAGCAAGAGTGCCAATATTAATTTCTGATCAAATTGACTTTAAGACAAAAACCAACATATGAGACAAGGAAGGACATTATATAATAATTAAAGGATCAATTGAACATAAAGATATAACCATAATAAATAGCTATGGGCCCAATGAAAAAACCCCAAAATACATAAATCAGACTTTAAAGGAGTTGAAAAGGCAAACTGATGACTCCACAGTCATAGTGGGAGACTTTAATACACCACTTTCACTGAAAGATAGAACAATTGGAAAGAAACTCAACAAAGATTCAGAAGAGCTAAACAATTCAATCCACCAACTTGACCTTATAGACATCCACAGAGCACTTCATCCAACAACAGCACAATATACATTCTTTTCCAGTGCACATGGAACATTCTCCATGATAGACCATATGTTAGGCCATAAAGCACGCCTTCATAAATTTAAAAACATTGAAATACAGTAAAGCAGCTTCTCAGATCACAATGCTATCAAATTAGAAGTCAATAATAGGAAGATCAATGAAAAAAGAACAAACACATGGAAACTAAACAACACCCTCCTTAAGAAAGACTGGCTAGGAGAAGAAATTAAAAAATTCCTTGAATCAAACAAGAATGAAAACACAATGTACCAAAATCTTTGGGACACAGCAAAAGCAGTGATCAGAGGCCAGTTTGTAGCAATAAACGCACACATCAAAAAACAAGAAGAAGCCAGAATGAACACCTTAACCCAACATCTCCAACAATTAGAGAAAGAACAGCAAGCAAAGCCCACAGTCACCAGAAGAAAGGAAATAATAAAGATTCAAGCAGAAATCAATGAAACAGAAAATAGAAAGACAATAGAAAAAATCAACAAGGCTAGCAGTTTGTTTTTTGACAATATTAATAAAATTGAAAAACTACTGCCAAATTTAAAAAAGGAAAAGAGGGAGAGAATAGAAATAACATGAATAAGAAACAAAATGTGAAACATCACAAGAGAACCAAAGAACAAGAAATAAAAAGAATAATATCAGG